TGAAAGCTTTTCGTTTTTGTCCATTTAGTATGATGTTGGCTGTTGGTTTGTCACAGATGAGAGGATAAGCCAGGGACAATCTACTCATGTTTTTCTTATTCCACAGAGCTCTCTCATTTGGGCAGAATACTGCAGGCCTTTCAGAAGAGGAAAAATCAGGGCAAGTACCCACTTGCCAGGCCTTTTAACTTCTGTGAGAAATGAGTGAGAGAAATGGGGACCCTTCTGTTGAGCATGCTATTTCCACATAAGGTACACTTATGTCCCTGTGGCTGTTAGAAGGCCTCTGCTGAGTTGATGAAACGTGTGGTTTCACTTCTTCTAAGTCTGGATTGACTTGCCCCATGGAGTCTGTTGTTACCCATATGATGAAACCATCTTCGACAGTGAGAACACCTTAATCCAGTTGTTCTTAACGAAGGAGGAAAGTGGTGCTCAAGGCCCCATTCTGGACTGACTGAATCAGAATCTACCAGCAGTGAGGACTGGGCATAGACACTACTGAAAAACTAATGTTAGAGAATACGAGGCACCCGGAAGACCTCAGCTTACCTCACTCCAGGACACTTAGCCTGTTTGCTCATAATGTGGCATAGGCCTTTTATTATTTGCCAGCTACTCTGATGGAAATATATAGAGGATATGTTTTTCAAAAGGGAAAGCAAAGGTGTTCTTGGTCAGTGAGAATGAAGGATAGAGAAGGGAAGGAGAAGGAAAAGCAGTGAATCCACAAGAAAGTTAAATGGGCTGGGCGTGGTGGTGTACACCTGTAATCCCAGCATTTGGGAGGCTGAGGCAGGAGGATCATTGTGAGTTTGAGGCCATCCTGGGCTATAAAGTGAGCTTAAGGCCAGCCTTAACTGCATAGTGAGATCTTGTCTCAAAAAAAGACAAAAAAAGAAAAAAGAATATTAAGTGACTTCATAGAGTATTTATGGTGAGTGAATACCATGGTTGCAAGAGGGTACCAAAAAAGACCACTCTGTTTATAAAAAGGAAGAAATGGAGTAGGGATACTTCTCTTTTTCTTATAAACTGAAATATAGGGAAATTAATGCATTTTAGGTAGAGCTGAATAAGGTGTTTTTAAGTGATAAATTCTGTGTAAATTGGTCTGTTGTCATGTAATTATATAGTGAAGGTTACATTTAACTGTCAACTTGATTGCCTTGGGAGCCACTGAGGGGATTAATAAAGCACACTTCTGCATGTGTCTGAGTAGGTCACAGAGGAGTGACCTTTGGGTCTACGTCTGCTTCCTGGCTCCTTCCTGTCTGGCACCATTGCCCTGCTCTGCTTTTGCAGTCATCATGAGCTAAGCAGCTTTGTTTTGCCATGTCCTTCTGCCATGGTGTTGCTCCCTTGGGACCATGATCATAGACTGAAACCCCTGAAATTGTGAGCTAAATTAAAGCTCTCCTTTAAGCTGTGGGTTTAGGCAATTTAATAGGAAACCTGCCTAATATGCACGCATTCTCTTTAAGAGTATGAAAACGTAACCAAAAAGCTATAAATGTATAAATCATTCAAAAAATCAAAATGGTTAGCATTTTGGTACCCTCTCATTATATATATATATATTTTTTTTTTTTGGGGGGGTGCGGTATTGTGCCTTGAACCCAGGGCCTTCATGCTGAGCTACATCTTTAATTCCTTCTTATTTTTTACTTTGAGACAAG